AGCTATGTTTGGCTAGATCAAAGGCAAGGAGTGTCCAATTTGATTGGAAAAAGTATGAAAATTCAAATTAGAGATTGAGGATTCTAATGGACACAAAAGCTCTGCAAAAACATAAACCAAAAAATTCAAACCAATTCAACAACACCTGTCTATTCTGTGAGCTAGGGTTGGCCAGACCAAGGGCAAGAAGTGTCCAATTTGATTGGAAAAAGTATGAGAATTCAAATTATGGATTGCGGATTCTAATGGAAACAAAAGGTCTGCAAAAACATCAATCAAAAAAACTGAACCGATTCAACAACACCTATCTCTTCCGTATGCTAGGGTTGTCTAGATCAAAGGCAAGGAATGTCCAACTTGATTGGAAAAAGTATGAGAATTCAAATTAGAAATTGAGGATTCTAATGGACACAAAAGCTCTGCAAAAACATGAACAAAAAAATCCTAACCAATTCAACAACACATGTCTGTTCCGTGATTTAAGGTTGGCTAGATCAAAGGTAATGAGTGTCCAATTTGACTGGAAAAAGTATGAGATTTCAAATTCGATATTGAGGATTCTAATGGACACAAAATCTCTACAAAAACATGAATCTAAAAAACCGAACCAACTCAACAATACCTGTCTGTTCCGTGAGTTAGGGTTCGCTAGATCAAAGGCAAGGAGTGTCCAACTTGATTGGAAAAAGTATGAGAATTCAATTTAGGGATTGAGGATTCTAATGGACACAAAAACTCTGCAAAAACTTGAACCAAAAAATCCGAACCAATTCAACACATGTATGTTCTGTGAGTTAGGGTTGGCTAGATCAAAGACAATGAGTGTCCAATTTGATTGGAAAAAGTATGAGATTTCAAATTCGAGATTGAGGATTCTAATTGACACAAAAGCTCTGCAAAAACATGAACCTAAAAATCCAAACCAATTCAACAACACTTGTCTGTTCCGTGAGTTAGGGTTGGCTAGATCAAAGGCAAGGAGTGTCCAATTTGACTGGAAAAAGTACGACAATTCAAATTAGAGATTGAGGATTCTAATGGACACAAAAGATCTGCAAAAACATCAATCAAAAAAGCTTGACCTATTCAACAACACCTGTCTGTTCCGTGTGCTAGGGTTGGCTAGATAAAAGGCAAGAAGTCTCCAATTTGATTGGAAAAAGTATGAGAATTCAAATTAGAGATTGAGGGTTCTAATAGACCCAAAAGCTCTGCAGAACCATGAATCAAAAAAACTGAACCGATTCAACAACACATGTCTGTTCCTTGAGCGAGGGTTGGACAGATTAAATGCAAGGAGTGTCCAATTTGATTGGAAAATGTATGAGAATTCAAATTAGAGATTGAGGGTTCCAATGGACACAACAGCTCTGCAAAAACATGAACAAAAAAAACTAAACCGATTCAACAATACCTTTCTGTTCCATGAGCTAGGGTTAGCTAGATCAAAGGCAAGAAGTGTCCAATTTGATTGGAAAAAGTATGAGAATTCAAATTAGAGATTGAGGATTCTAATGGACACAAAAGCTCTGCAAAACAAGAACAAAAAAATCCAAACCAATTCAACAACATCTGTCTGTTCCTTTAGGTAGGGTTGGCCAGACCAAATGCAAGGAGTGTCCAATTTGATTGGAAAAAAGTATGAGAATTCAAATTAGAGATTGTGGATTCTAATGGACACAAAAGCTCTGCAAAAATATGAACCTAAAAAACCAAACCAATTCAACAACACATGTCTGTTCCGAGAGTTCGGGTTTGCTAGATCAAAGGCAAGGAGTGTCCAATTTGATTGGAAAAAGTATGAGAATTCAAATTAGAGATTGAGGGTTCTAATAGACACAAAAGCTCTACAGAAACATGAACCAAAAAAACTGAACCAATTCAACAACATCTATCTGTTCCGTGAGCTAGGGTTGGACAGATCAAATGCAAGGAGTGTCCAATTTGATTGGAAAACGTATGAGAATTCAAATTAGAGATTGAGGGTTCCAATGGACACAAAAGCGTTGCAAAAACATGGGCAAAAAAAACTAAACCGATTCAACAATACATTTCTGTTCCATGAGCTAGGGTTAGCTAGATCATAGGCAAGGAGTGTCCAATTTGATTGGAAAAAGTATGAGGATTCTAATTGACATAAAAGTTCTGCAGAAACATGAACCAAAAAATTCGAACCAAATCAACAACATATGTCTGTTCCGTGAGTTAGAGTCGGCTAGATCAAAGGCAATGAGTGTCCAATTTGACTGTAAAAAGTATGAGATTTCAAATTCGAGATTGAGGATTCTAATGGACACAAAAGCTCTGCAAAAACAAGAATCTAAAAAACCGAACCAATTCAACAACACCTGTCTGTTCTGTGAGTTAGGGTTCGCTAGATCAAAGGCAATGAGTGTCCAATTTGACTGGAAAAATTATGAAAATTCAAATTATAGATTGAGGATTCCAATGGACATAAAAGCTCTGCAAAAACATGAACCAAAAAATTCGAACCAATTCAACAACACATGTCTGTTCCGTGAGTTAAGGTTGGCTGGATCAAAGGTAATGAGTGTCCAATTTGACTGGAAAAAGTATGAGATTTAAAATTCGAGATTGAGGATTCTAATGGACACAAAAGCTCTGCAAAACCTTAACCAAAAAATCCAAACCAATTCAACAACGCATGTCCGTTCCGTGAGCTAGGGTTGGCCGGACCAAAGGCAAGGAGTGTCCAATTTGATCGGAAAAAGTATGAGAATTCAAATTAGAGATTGCGGATTCTAATGGACACAAAAGCTCTGCAAAAACATGAACCAAAAATAAACCAATTCAACAACACATGTCTGTTCCATGAGCTAGGGTTGGCTAGATCAAAGGCAAGGAGTGTCTAATTTTATTGGAAAAACTATGAGAATTCAAATTAGATATTGAGGATTGCAATGGACACAAAAGATCTGCAAAACCAAGAACGAAAAAAACTGAACCGATTCAACTATACTTGTCTGTACTGTGAGCTAGGGTTGGCCGAATTAAAGCTAGAAGTATTCACTTTGATTGGAAAAAGAATGAGAATTCAAACGAGAAATTGAGGATTCTAATGGACACAAAAGCTTTGTAAAAACAACAACCAAAGAAACTGAACCGATTCAACAACACCTGTCTGTTCCGCGAGCCAGGGTTGGCTAGATCAAAGGCAAGGAGTGTCAAATTAAATATTGAGGATTCGAATCGTCACAAAAGATCTGAAACCACATGAAACAAAAATACTGAACCAATTCAACAACAACTGTTTGTGCCGTGAGCTAAGGTTGGCTGAATAAAAGGGTAAAAGTGACCTATTTGATTGGGAAAAGTATGAGAATTCAAATTAGAGATTAAGGATTCGAATCGTCACAAAATATCTTCAACAACATGAAACAAAAAAACGGAACCAATTCAACAAAACCTGTCTGTGCTGTGAGATAGAGTTGGCTGAATAAAAGGCTAGAAGTGACCAATTTGATTGGGAAAAGTATGAGAATTCAAATTAGAGATTGCGGATTCGAATCGTCACAAAAGATCTGCTACAACATGAAACAAAAATACTGAACCAATTCCACAACACCTGTCTGTGCCGTGAGCTAAGGTTGGATGAATAAAAGGCTAGAAGTGACCAATTTGATTGGGAAAAGTATGAGAATTCAAATTAGAGATTAAGGATTCAAATCGTCACAAAAGATCTGCTACAACAGGAAACAAAAAAACTGAACCAATTCAACAACACCTGTCTGTGCCGCGAGCTAGGGTTGGCTGAATAAAAGGCTAGAAGTTACCAATTTGATTGGGAAAAGTATGAGAATTAAAATTAGAGATTGAGTATTCGTATCGTCACAAAAGATCTGCTACAACATGAAACAAAAATACTGAACCAATTCAACAACAACTGTCTGTGCCGTGAGCTAAGGTTGGCTGAATAAAAGGGTAGAAGTGACCAATTTGATTGGGAAAAGTATGAGAATTCAAATTAGAGATTAAGGATTCGAATCGTCACAAAAGATCTGCTACAACATGAAACAAAAAAACTGAACCAATTCAACAAAACCTGTATGTGCTGTAAGATAGGGTTGGCTGAATAAAAGGCTAGAAGTGACCAATTTGGTTGGGAAAAGTATGAGAATTCAAATTTGAGATTGAGGATTCGAATCGTCCGAAAAGATTTGCTACAACCTGAAACAAAAATACTGAATCAATTCAACAACACCTATCTGTGCCGTGAGCTAGGGTTGGCTGAATAAAAGGGTATAAGTGACCAATTTGATTGGGAAAAGTATGAGAATTCAAATTAGAAATTAAGGATTCGAATCGTCATAAAAGATCTGCTACAATATGAAACAAAAAAATTGTCCTTAATTTTTCCAAAAATTTGTTAAGAGGCTAAATTGACAATATGCGAATAATTCAAGGGAAAAAACCTCAGAAAACCTTAATCTAATATACAATGCATAGCACAGAAACTAGCCCTAACAACATGAATGAGTACGCAAACTCTGAGGAGCTTCCTTTCTATCCCTTGGCATGATCAGAGACCATCACTGCAATATTATCATATCACATCACAAGGCAACTGCCTTTTATTTTATTTACAAAGAAAATGACACTATAGCGTGGTCCGTCTATATAACCATACTATAGACACACCAGAATATCGTTAGTCATGCATGTCAAGTTGCCAACCAAACAATAAGACTCGAGGACAACAATTTATACTTCCCCGCGACACTGGGAATATCCGAATATGGATGGATTTTCGTACCATGTTTTTATGAGCGTTCAGTTCAGTTGCCTTACTGTTTCCATGGTATACAGTTGCCTTTTTGTTCTACGGTCAGTGCTCCTGTTTGGTTTTGTTGCCTGTTTAAGAAGCTCGATGGTTTGCACTTTAACTCTCTGTTCAATGATATTTACGTATTCATTATAAAAACTAAAATTAAAAATTAAAAAAGGTTATTAATGGGGCTCTATAACTAAGAAGTTGAATATCAGCACTCTACTTTACTCTCATTTGCCGACTACATTTCAATTACCATGGAACAGGATTTAGAGTTAAAAAAACATTCTCTGCAAATTAGTTGTCAGCAATGTTCGAATCCACTGGAATGAGTTACAATGTCTACATCACAACCAATTAGCAAGCTAAACCCTAAACATCTAAGATCATAACCAACTAGCAAGCTAATGGTGCGTGTGCTGTCGTGTCAAGTTTCTCCATTTGTCTTTCAAATCCACCTAGATCATGAAAAACAACATTTTAAAATTACAGAATAAAATTTAAGCTAAGAGCCATTGAAAAAAATTACACAACTTGGTACCTGTGTCCTCTCTCCAAAGATGTCCCGATTGCTGGTCAAGATCAACTTCCAACGGCCCACTCCATATTGCTCAACACCAGCCCTCAAAGTGTCCTCTTCCAAAGAGGACCACTTCTTTCCTTTCCTTCTCCTAGCAAGTCTATCATTGTCCTCATTCGATGGGGAAATAGCATTCTTGTTAGGCAGGTCTTCAACTACTGAGTCATCCCACTGCAAATACAAACAAAATTTAGGCAATCATAGTAGAACAATAAAAGACATGAACATAAATACCTCAAAACATTCACTTAAGCTAGGTTATAATCACAAGATATTAAGTCAAAGATTCTTTGATCATCTTAAATACACATCTCCTAGCTAGTGGTTTTATAATTGCATACATGTTTTAGCAAGTATATTTCTCCATGCACCATGATGATCATGATCATTAAGTACTATAAATGACAGCAACATAAACGCCGCCCACCCGATATCCAAAGTCAACCAGAAACTATTGCAAATTCTGTAATTTATCACAAACCTGATCATCACCAGAAATCTGTACATCAATCAGTGACTTGAGATCCTTCACCTCCTTTTCAGGCTCAAGGTTGCTTTCTTTGAGGCGCTGGGTTTCTTCTGCCACCTACAAGAAATGATTAACTCTTACTTCCAAGTCAACCAAAAAAAAACTCTTACTTCCTAGAGAAACGATCAATTGCAAAATGGGTATAAAAAACAAAAAACAAAAAACAAAATGATATTACCAAAGCAATGTGTGTATGCATGTGTTTCAAATTCAAAGGGCGAAAGCAATATATAGCCGGGCCCAATGTTAAAAGCATATTACAAGTTACAAGAGAATAACCAAAATAACCAAAGGGCCGAAGCATCATATGACATTACACTACAAAGTTACAACAACAACAAAAGAAGAAGAAAAAAAGACAAAACACATTTACATTGACAAAACTAAAATCGATCCGTTTCAATGAAAAGCAATAATATATTTTCGAATAGAACAACAAAAGACATGAACATAAATACCACAAAATATTCACTTAAGCTAGGTTATAATCACAAGACATTAACGCACACCCAATATCCAAATTAAACCAGAAACTATTGCGAATTCTGTAATTTATCACAAACCTGGTCATCCGCCAACCTCTCTACCTCAATCAGTGACTTGAGATACTTCAGCTCCGTTTCAAGCTCAAGGTTGCTTTCTCTGAGGCGCTGGATTTCTTGTGCCACCTACAAGAAATGACCAACTCTTAATTCCACGTTGACCAAAAAAAAAAAAAAACTTTTACTTCCAAGAGAAACGACAACCTGCAGGGAATAAAAAACAAAAAAAAAAACGCGTTGACCAAAAAAAAAAAAAAACTCTTACTTCCAAGAGAAACGACAAACTGCAGGGTATAAAAAACAAAAAACAAAATGATATTAACAAAGCAATGCGCATATGCATGCGTTTCAAATTCAAGGACCGAAAGCTATATATAGCCCAATGTTAAATACAGATTACAAGCTACAAGAGAATAACCAAAGGACCGAAGCATCATATTACATTACACTACAAAGTTACAACAACAACAACAACAAAACAAAAAAGACAAGACACATTTACAGTGACAAACAGAAAATCGATCAGTTTTAGTGAAAAGAAATAATATATTTTCTAATAGAACAATAAAAGACATGAACATAAATACCTCAAAACATTCACTTAAGCTATGTTATAATCACAAGATATTAAGTCAAAGATTCTTTGATCATCTTAAATACATGTCTTCTACTCCTAGTGTTTGAAGCAACCTACTTGATACGTTCTTTTTTTATATTTTTCTTTTATGTTTCCTTCTTTTTGCATTTCGGAAATTGGCAAAAGCAATATAGTTTTGACGTGTAGCTTTAGAAAAATATGTGCTTAATTATAAATTCCTTTTCTTTGGCAGGATAAACAAATTATAAATTCCTGTCCTTTAACAAATTCAAGTTAATCACAAGATATTAAGTCAAAGATTCTTTGATTATCTTAAATACACATCTCCTAGCTAGTGATTTTATAATTGCATACATAATATAGCAAGTATAAATCTCCGCACTCCATGATGATCATGATCAGTAAGTACTATCAATGAAAGCAACATAAACGCACACCCAATATCCAAATTCAACCAGAAACTATTGAAAATTTTGTAATTTATCACAAACCTGATCATCATCCAACCTCTGTACCTCAATCTGTGACTTGTGATCCTTCAGCTCCTTTTCAAGCTCAAGGTTGCTTTCTCTGAGGTGCTGGATTTCATGTTCTGCCACCTACAAAAAATGACTTACTCTTACTTCCAAGTCAACCAAGAAAAACTTACTTCCAAGAGAAACTACCAATTGCAAAAAGGGTATAGAAAAAACAAAATTATATTAACAGAACAATGCGCATATGCATGCGTTTCAAATTCAAAGGGCGAAAGTGATATATAGCCCAATGTTCGAAACATATTACAAGTTACAAGAAAATAACCATAATAAGCAAAAGACCGAAGCATCATATTACATTACACTACAGAGTTACAACAACAACAAAAGATGAGACACATTTACAGTGACAAAACGAAAATCGATCAGTTTCAGTGAAAAGAAATAATATATTTTCTAAAATAAGTTATTACACATCAATTGGGAAAAAAAAAAAACCTAATTTTCATATTCCTAAACTAAAATGTTGAAACAATCTTATCATTAAGTCAGAATAAAAAGTTGTGTACAAGAAGGGAAAAAAATAAAAATTGAGCTAACGAAGGTCACACATGTTGGCTCTTAGCTGGAGAGAGAAGAAGACAATCTTCTTCTTTTTTGTCTTTTCTTTTATCTTGGGGAATAAAACCGGAGCTAGGCTATTTTATGCTTTTTTTAAAGAAGGTTGGGCAGGGCTATATAGGTTGGGGAAGTTTTCCAAACATTTGGGTCGGGCTTCAGCCCTACCTAGACAAGGCTGGGCCTGTGCCTGCTCCTAGCTAGGAATGACAAAAATCCCCGCTAGGGTTGATCCCCGACCCTAACGGGGGGAGATTTCGGGGCCAAATGGGTATCGGGTACGGAGATCCCCGAACTTGAAAAATCTCCGACGGGTATGGGGAGGGGATGGTATTGGATTCCCCATCCCCGAACCTGACCCGAAAATATATATGTTTATATTTAAATAAATAAATATATAATTATAATATTTATGTTTAACCCTAAGTTAACCTCCATCTCCTAATTCTTCCTAATCTTTTCTAGAATTTCATATCGATGTGATTTTGAATAGTTGAGTTGAACTTTATAGTTAATTTGGATGTGTCGAATGATAATTTAATATGAAACTTAATGTTAAAATGTATGATAAATATTTTTTATGCAAAAAAAATCGGGGATTCGGAGCAGGTGTTGGGAATAGTCCCCCAATGGGAACGGGGACGGGGATTCCCCGAAACCTATTAAACGGGGATGGGTGCAGGGACGGGGGCGGGGATGGTATTGTCATACCCGACCCGTTGCCATCCCTACTCCTAGCTAGTGGTTATATAATTGCATACATATTATAGCAAGCATATATCTCCACGCACCATCATGATCATGATCAGAGCTAGGAGCGGGCACGGTCCGATTTGGTCCGATTCTCACTCAAAACCAAAATCAGTACTGTTCATTCAGTCCAATTTTCATAAAAATGTACTAACTAAACAGAACCAACCCGCACCGGTTTAAATCCTGTTTGGTTTCAATTTTCCTAGTTTGGACCGGCTCTAAGCCCAATTGATAAATTTTTCCATTTTCAATTTTTAGAGCTTCAAGCCGAACTGAATTTTTTCACATTTTGGGCTCTAAACCCGGGCCGGTTTAAACAATTGAATGTGTAATGTAGAAAATCGACGAATCCTACAAGTAAAACCAGATCTGAACCTTCTCAAAGATACCAAAAATAAATAATCTGTATAACAAAAATGAGAATCTAAAGAACACTAAAAGACCAAAACAGATCCAATCGAAAAGAATAAGAAACAGAAAGAGAAATCAGACAGAGAGAGGAGAGGAGAGGAAGAAGAGAAGAAGAAAAAATCTCGGCTAGGATTTTCTTCAGGGGAGAGAGAGAAGAGAAGAAAGAGAGAATAAATGAGAGAGAGAAAGCACCTAGCTAGAGTGAGAGAAAAGAGAGAAGAAAAAAGAAAAAAGAAATAGAGAGAAGCTTTTCAGTCTTGGGATAAGAAAAGTACTTTTCCTTTTGGAGTGGGCTTGGATTTGGGATTGAGGTATAATTGATAGGTTTAGGCCAATTGTTTGGGCTTGAAGCTGGGAATGGAAGGTTTAGGTAGAATAAGGCCCACTGCATATATTAATTATATTCGAGCCGGCCCGGTTTTTGAAGGCATGGAATTGGAACCGGAACCAGCCAGAACCGGATCGGTTTGGTTTGTTGACCGGTTGTTGACTTTTTCGTCAACTCGGTTTTCCGGTTTGCCGGTTTGAATAACCACCCCTACTAGAAACTACTGAAAATTCTGTAATTTATCACAAACCTGATCATTAGCCAATCTCAATCATTGACTTGAGATCCTTCAAAACATGGATTCCAGCTTCATGAAAGGGGTTTGCATCTTCTTCAAGTCATCCTTAAGACCACCTTCCGGTATGTCTTAAGGGTTTGCAGTTGCGTTCCGAAATGTCCATATAGGCATCAGGCATCCACGTGTTCCTGTCATTGGAGGGCTTGCACCGCTCTCAACAAATCTTCAATCATTTGCCACATCTCAACCATCTCTTTTTGTTGGGCTTGGTTTCCTCATCCACGACCTCTAGCACGTCCAACCATGGTGTGGAGCAAGGATTAACCTATGCTCTGGTACCAATTTGATGCAGGGCAGCGGCTATAAGCTGCTGTCAGTGACCCAAGCATTCCCAAAATACAGAAAATAGAAGGATAAAGCAATATAATAGAAATTGGAACGAAAATAATTGAGTTCTAGGGCAAAAATCCCAAAAGAAACTTCTATATACTAAAGTCTGGAATTATATTTATACTAGATTACATCAGCCAAACATTCCTGTTCCTGGTTTATTAAGAAAACCTAATTAAAAAGGGAAATTAAAAACTAAAACAGGAAAATAATCCAAATTCTAATAAGAATAGGAAAGCAATTAACAAAATAATTTATTAATGTAATATAACTAAAATTATTTGCTGATGAGCCCACTTAGATTAGGAAAGTCTAATAGATGCTCATGCATCATTGAATTACCTCGAGTTTTTCTTTATACCCCTTCAAAACAAAGCTTGGAGAAAGCCTTCTCTTTGATGGTTCATTATTAAACCTAAATGCATAATACAGAAACTGTAACAGCTTGTACCCAAAAAAAAAATTACAAAAATTATATATAATGAGTTTCTTTTGGGTTGGGGATGGAGGATTTTACTTGATCTCCATATACGGTGTGGCTTGTTTTAGCAGGCAAGACGTATTGTGATAATCTTCTCCGCCTGCTTTCACTGTTAAGATCTGCACAATTAACAAATAAAGTAGTGAGATGATTTTAAAGACAGCAGAACTACAAGGTGGTGATAAGACAACATACCAACGCCATCCTTTTCTTGCCTTCCATGTAATCTCTCAGGTACTTGGTCAACTGTCCAAAGACAAAAAACACACTAGTAAATCCTAAGCTACTGCATTGAAGTTATCGAAAGACTAGAGCCAAACAAAGGACAAGTGACAAGAGTAAATCAGTAAATGAAAACAATACCAAAGAGTCCTGGAAGTGCTTCTCCAATGGCTTCATTGGATTCTTCTGATGCTCCAATAAAGACTAAAACAAAAAAAGAAATGGATAAGACCACGGACACACACACATATATAGAGAGCGAGGAAAACAATAAGGGCCTTATAAGTTGCCAAGAATAAGCAAGTAAAATGGTAAACTAATTATGATCAAGGGCAGATGAAGAGTGAGGTCGAAAAAACCAACTTAAGGCTACATACTCTCAAGCACAAGCAAAAGACCATTGATGTTTTGTTGATGAAGTTACTTTCAAGCAATCTTACTCCCTGCAAATTAAAAGAAAAAAACTAAGCCATAAACAAAATAATTATTCAAAATCAAGACTATACATTGACTTGTGCAAAAAATTTAATCTGTACACAAAATGTCAAAACCAATTCAAGCATTTCACTATCAATTTCAAAAACTGCTTATGTTGCCATCTAAAGATAAATAGAATGAGGAGAAACGGAAATAGAAAAAATGTGGTATCATTTATTCTAATGGGTTCCTTTAGTTCAATACAACCCTTCATTAAGTAAAGCATCCTAAAATAGCAATAGTATAAATCTGACAAAATGGTGATAACGATTATAAAGTGTGTGTGTATATATATATATATATATATATCATGCCTTGTGGGATGCAGTGAACAACCAAAATTGAACAAATTTCAACGTTAACCACAGCTAGTTCAGTGAGAATAATTCAGTCACATGAGTGAAACCTGATTCCCAGTTCCTTTTTCTCTTTCAGCCCCAGCAAGATCAACAATAATAAGAACACCATCATTTGCTTGATCATTAACCTCTCCATTAGACTTGTCATCAACAATACGGAGGTTAATAACACATTGCGACCGGCTACAACCATATAGAGAAAAAATTGTCATAATACTTATTGAATGTAAGAACCATGCAGAAAAAATAGCCGAAATATAGAATATTTGGAGCTCATCAATAACATGGAAAGTCGAATTAATGTAAAGAATTTTATAAGTTGAAGAGGTTACACACACCTTGATTGGCTATTAGCATTTGTTGGACTAGTAGCACGCCTGAGTAGTGCCTGAGAAATTACAAACTCTCCATGTCTCCAATCAGAAATTACGACCTGTTTACAAAATTACAGTAGGTGCTAGTTATTTTTAATATCCAACCACATAATTCAAACAACTCAAAGGTAGTACTCAACCTACCTCATGTAGGCCTTTAAGTGTTGATCGATGCATCGTTAAATCAACTCCATTGGGGGATAAATCAAATACCCTCTCCTCCTTGCCTCCCTCACATCTTATTTCAAAGATTGATATGAACAATGACCTGAGAAGAATGAAGATATCATATAAAATAAAGGGGTTGTCAGATTCAAGTCCAAAAGGTTTGGCTGGTATTAGGTCTAATCTGCATTCTTTTGTTTGTTGATCCACATCCATTGACATATATTACTCGTTTTCTATGCCCAACTTAAAAAAAGGAAACAAATTGAAAAATCTCAATTTTATGCATTTTTTCTCCTAATTCAAATTTTATCATATCAACAAGAAAATAAATTATTCAATTTAAGTCCAAAACATTCTGTTTCTCAAATCCTAAATTAATTACAAAACATCTTGCCAACTGGACTGATTGGGTTAATAAAAAGCGATCTCATATTTCTAACAGATTTAAACTAACATGATTCTATATTGCAAGGAAAAATCAAGTGCCTAATTAAGTAAAATTGACATACTTATCAAATTTTTCTATTTTTTTTTATACGTGTTTCATAGAATAAATTGAGTAAAATTGGATTATGTAATAGCTTAGTGATACCCTAATTATACCTCGTAGAATCAGAAGTCTCCTTGAAAATCTGCTGAAGTGCAAGCGGCACCATACCGGACTGGCTGTTGCAACCAAAAATCGTATGAGTCTTTCCAGAGCCACTAGGCCCGAATGCAGCAAGCATCCCACTTTTGCCCCTCAAAAAATCCTCCACCAGTGGCCTCATCATCTTCTCATACACCTCCTCCTATCAACAATAACACAAATTAGACAAAAATAGGTAGATATAACAGCAAGAAAAAAGAAATGCAACCGAAAATGAAAAGAGAGAACTGAAGTCACCTGAGAGGAATCAGGGGAGAAGACTTGTGAAAAGCCGTCATATACCTCTGTCTTGGTGCGGCCCCGTTCCAAGGCCAGTGGTGGTGATAGCGTCACCGACCGGGAAGTTTTAACCCTTAGGCACATCTTCTGAAACCAAGGTTCAAACGCCGACTTCCTTCGGAATCTCGGGTTCCGATCTCCCCTGACGCCACTCTGCAGAAGTGGCCGAATCCTCAGAAACAGTCCGAGATTCTCGGATTTAGCCATGTCCGATGTTTCTTCCGTTGCTGGGTCCATCTGCGCGCCGTTTGGTATTGCGTTTTTGGGCCGTCTAGGGTGTTTACTTTGATGACACAGAAGAGAGAATCAGAGAGAGATGAAGAAGAAAGATCGAGAGTTTTTGTATTGATTTGTCTGAATGAGTAGTTACAGTAAGCTTATATACATAAAATAGAAAGCTTAAAGCTAATTAAACAGTAATTAACAGATAACTAACTATAACACGTGCTCTCCATGTGACAAAGTAACAAGCTTAAGCTGACCTACAACAGCGTGAACTGCAGAATGATCCACAATAGAAACAACAATATATTTACTTTTGGTCCCTGTAGTTTATATTTTTTCACTTTTAGTCCTTATAGTTTCAATTTGATCACTTTTGCCATTTTATTTTCATGATTGTAGCAATTTAATGACAACTAAAAAATTACGTCAATTTTATTCACGCTCAGGAATATTTATATCCAATTTTGTCATTTCAACCATTTTATTCAAGCTAAAACTCTCAATTTCATGTTAGAATGCGAAAATGGAAATTGGGTTCAGGGTTCTTCCAAAACTCGGGTTTCTATTATGAGATTTTGGGAAATTTGTCTAGGGCCCTAACAAGAAATGGAGGGTTTTAACTTGAATTAAATGGTAGAAATGGTATAATTGGACATAAATACCTCCGAATGAGTGAATAAAATTGATGGAATTCTTTAATTGTCCTTAAATTGCTATAATTATGAAACTACAATGGCAAAAGTGACCGAATTGAAACTACAAGAACCAAAAGTGAAAAAGAGGCAAACTACAATGATCAAAAGTGATATTTGGCCTTTAATTTCTTATCAAGTTTGGTAAAGAAAGTGGAATCTACCATTTTTATAAAATCAAAGTCACTCAACGACGTGATTTGAAGCGGCGGCTGAAGGGATGATTATTTTTTCGGCTTTCACGGAAAGCAAATAAGGAACGGTGGAGTTTAATGAATTTTTATGAAATGCCATAGTGCCCTTTTTAATTTTTCTAATTTATCTCATATGGTTTTTAGGTTCAGTGGTCCCTAAACTTTGACCCAATTCTTATTTTGGTCCCTCAATTTCAAAAATCGTTATCGTGATCCTTCAACTTTAGTTTGGTTAGGACAAATAGTCCTACCGTTAGTTTGTTAACTTTTTCTGTTAAATTTGAGCATGTGCATGACACATAGTGTACTGTTAAGGGTCAAAATCGAAAATTGCTTCACTCTTGAGAGAAAAAAATTTATGTCATAGGGATTCCAGTCAGCATCACATTAATATCCCCATCCAATAAAATACAAATAGTTGGAAACCAATTTAAGTTTCAATTTAAAATTTTACAAATTTTTTCTGCATCCATTTTCTCCTCTCTCTTCAGCACCTTCTCTCTCCTTCATTCCATTTCTCTCTTCAATCACTCCTTGTCCATCATCACCCACACACCTAGGGGTGGGCATTGGAATCGAAGAATCGTTCAACTGAACCAAATTGGACCGGAAAAAACTAGAAAAAATCGATTTGACTAAAAAGTCAAAATTAATTGGAAAAACCGAAACATACCAATTTTGACCGATTCTGATTACAGTTCCATGTCTCAAAAAATCGAACCAACCCAAACCAGACCAACTGTATTAATTAATTAATTAATTAATTTGAAAATATCTCATACTTAAACCCAATTCTTCTTAGGCTTACTTACTATAGCACCCCCTGAAACTTCGGTCAAATCTCACTTTAACCTTCCAAAGTTAAAATGGCTCACTTTACCTCATTGATCGTGGTTTTGTGTTCCACTTCCCCCTCCCACCGTTAACGCTAGGGGTGGTTGTGGTTCGGTAACCGCGAATTTTTGTCCAAACCGCAAACCGACCGACTATTTGAGGTATAGTGATTTTTGAAACCGCAAAAAGCGGTCGGTTACCACGAATTAGCGGTTTAAAACCGCAAATTCTCAAGCATTCACAAAAATATAAATTCACAACCTAAATAAATAAATAAAAACATCAATTTCTCAAGCATATATAAATTCACAATCTCCTCAACTTCTCAAGCATTCACAACCTAAAGAAAATTAAAGTTACAATTCCAAGTATTCCAATTAAAGTTAAACTTCTCAAGCATTCCAATTCTAAATCCTTTAAAGTTACAAACCAAAAGGAAAATGCAAAGCAAAATGAATTAAAGTTACAACTAAAAAGAAAAATCCAATTCAAAGTTAATTAAAGTTACAAACTAAAAGAAAAATGCAATGCACCAACGTTACAAACTCAAGTGTTGGTGGTGAGTGGATTTGAAGAACCCCATTGTATTATTTGAGCATCAATGCTATCTACAAATAAAACAACATAGTTTAGTACATTTTATTATAAGAAGATCAAATAAAACAACATAGATTGGCTATACTTTGCGGTTTGCGGTAACCGCAAGTTTTGAAAATCAAATACCGCAAATGCGGTTTGGTTTACCGCGCTCGTGGTTTCATTGCGGTAAATAGTCGGTTAGTTTTTGCGCTTTTTTGGTTTTTCGGTCTAAAATGCCACCCCTAGTTAACGTCATCCAAAAGACCGTCAAAAAGGCTGACATGCAAGGCGCATTATGGTAATAACATCCACGTGGGCCAATTGCTGACCTTAGTCAGCTGCCTACGTGGCATATTAGACCCCACAAGGTGTTGAAAATCATAATCTAAGCGGTTGAGTTCGTAAAATCATGCCAAAGACCCCCTTTTCAGCAGATAAAATTTGGGGAGATTAGGGTTTGGACTGTGTCGAAGAGAGAGATTCGAACATTTGAGAAGAACCGAAAATTGCAAAAGAGTGAAAACAGTTTGAGAATCAAAATTTGGGCACTGCTCGAATATTGGAAAGATTGGACAATGACGGTGTCGAGAGAGAAATGAGGTTCTCAACCCGAGTACGGTAAGTGGCCCTTTGCTTTTGCTTTTGCTTTTGCTTTTGCTTTTGAAATGAAATCGACGAAAGCGATAGATTTATAAAGTGTGATCCAGGTTTAAATTTCTTGATTGTCTGCTTGCTTTGTTGGGTCGGGTCCAAAGGTGTTGTGGTCCCCTATGTGTTGCTGTTATGTTTTCTTGTTTACTAGTTGTTTAAAGGTCGTTTTAGTGTTTTACTAATTGTTTTCTTGTTTACTACTTCTTGTTTGCTAGTTGTTTAAGGGTCGTTTTAGTGTTGACTGGTAGTTTGATGGTTGTGTTACTATACATATGACTAGGTAATTGTTAAACTATACATGTGACTAAGCATTGGTTGAAGTGTGTGTTTTTATGTTCTGTTGTGTATATGACAAAGGAATAGTCACCTTTGAAGTACATCATGGAGGTAATTGGTAAAATCCCCAAACTTCAATGAGTGATGGTTTTATATGGGGGGTTCTGTTGATTATTTGGACTGGTGTCTTTTGGACTACGTAAATTTGTTAGAGATATATGCTTATGCAAAAGAGCTTGGGCATCATGACTGTAGGGGTCTTTTTATTCCAGCAGCCTGAGAATGGGCTTGGGCTACCGAAAAAGGGAAACATGCATGAAATTGCCCATTGAGTCTGAGTTTAAGGATTAGGCTCCAAGAGTGTTTCAAAAGGGTAACTGAGCCTTAGGAAACACCTTGGTCTTCTTCACCAATGAAATCAACAGTCGCTTATAGAAAAATTCTTGGGCTTGGCATGAGAGCTAAGCATTCGTGACTTTAGCATGAGAGAGAGAAGGAGCTGAGATAGGATGAGATGAAGGAATATGGCTCGAAATTGCAGGGGTTTCAGGGATGAGAGATGATGATTGCTCTCTAGATGTGTGTTTATAGAAAGAGATGAAGAAGATGGAAGCATAGGTGGCTTTAGCATATTTCCAGCAGCTTGACAAAAACTCTGTCAAGCTTTGGACCAGTTTACCAAAAGGAAAAATGAGGTAGATGGAAGGATGGAGCTCGAAATTGCAGAGGTTTCAGAAGGGAGAGATAAAGCTTGCTCTCTCTGGATGTGGGTTTTGAGAGGGAGAGGAAGAAGATGGAAGAACAAGCATGAAATTGAATGGTTCCATAGGGGATGCTTGCTTCAATGATTTGTCCTGGTTGCTGGAAGGCTTGCAGCAACGTAGGTGAGTTTTGAGATCAGATCTCAAGTGTCTTTACTGGGTAGAAAGTGCTTCCTTTTATAGGCATTGAAAATCTTCATTTTGTCAAGCTTCTCTCCACTTTTTCTTCACTTTCTTCCATTTAATCTTGTTTGGTGAAACTTCTCTAGCCTGAGCATGTAGGCATGAAGCTTTTTGGAGTTTCAAGACCTTCACACAGCTGGCTTCTCCATGTGGGTAAGGAGCCACCCACTTTTGCTTCTTGTTTTCTCACCAAAGCTTGAAGAGGAAGAATGGGTATGGGTGCTAGTCAAAAAGGGTGATCAGCACATGGGTTTGCTTGGTTTTGATGGTTTTGACAGATATGCTGGATATGTTCCACGATGCTGGGTTGGGCTATTGGTATTTTGTTTCTAGCGGTTTGTGAGTTCCCTTTGATTTCGTCAGACTGCTGGAAGCTTTGGCTGATGTGGATTTTTTTATGGGCTATGACTATTAAATATTTTTCTAAGATGTTTGGGCTTTTTCTTAAGGTGATGGACTATTGGGTTTTCTCTCATGCTTACTCATATGTTTGGACTCAATGAGTGGGCTTGATTTTTGGTGCTCCCAAGTAGCCCAAAACTTCCACTCCTTGGACCATCAATGGGCCTCGTGAATACTCGTAACCATTCATACCACAACCCGCTCAACAAGTCTCAGGCATTCGCTTTGCTTGGGCCTACTTAAGCTTGTAGCATGACACGTTGCTTAAATAAGGATTTTTCGCTTGGTGTTGTACTGGGCCGAAAAATATATTTAGGCCCAACCTTGGATTTTTTTTTTTTGGCCTCAACACAAGTGGTTGTGACAGGGACACAAAATGGTAAAAAAGTGTGTATAGATAGTGATGCTCAGCTACTTGATTTGTGTAATTTGGTGCCTCCTAGCTTTCAAAGAGTGATTGTCATTTACTTGGAACATCCCACTGTTATTAGTGTGGATGAATCTGCAGTGGCTTGGAGTGAGAAGGGTCTTATTGCAAGAAACCTATCTGCTAAATTTGAACAATCTGGTTATGAGAATATGTATGAGGAGGATGAGAAGGATGAAGAGGATGAGGAGGATTGCATTGCTATTGATGAGGAGGACGAAGGTGATGAAGGTACTATTCATGAGCCTATACATGTGGAGGAAGCTGGTGATGAAGGCATTATTCTTGAGGGTACAAATGTGGCTGAGGATAGGCATAAAGGAACTGTTCCTGAGGGTATAATTATGGATGAGGAAGATGATGAAGGTACTGTTCCGGATGGTATAAATGTGGAGGATGAGACTATATATGAAGAGGGAGAGAATGATAAAAAGGCTGAAAACAATTGTGAAGACAGTGAAGACCCTGAATTTTATGATAGTGCTTATGACCAAAGTGAAGATGAGCAATGCTTGCTAGAGAAGGATGATAGAGCATTTGACAACTATGTTGACCACAATGCTCCAGATTTTTATCCAACTGCATATGAAGGAGATAAATTAAAAGATATGGCTGTAAGTGATGTTAATTGCTTGGATAGTAGCTCATGTGATGAAGGTACATTGCCTATCAGAAAAAGGAAAAGGAAACTACCCAAGTTTGAAGATTTTAAGCCTGAAATAAATTTGAATAACCCAATCTTTAAGCTTGGTCTAAGATTTCCAAGTGTCTATGTTTTTAGGAAAGTAGTGAGAAACTACTCAATGTTCAACAGAAGAAAGATTAAGTTCTCCAAGAATGATAAAGATAAAGTTAGAGCAGTTTGTGATGGGATCAAGAATGGAAAATGTCCATGCTTTGTTTATGCTTCAGCTGTAAATGGAAGTAGCATGGTTCAAATTAAGAGTTATGAAGAGGACTGTTGAACGCAATGTGCATGCTAACTCACCATGGTTAGCAGAGAGATACGCTACACAGCTGTCTAGAATAATAAATTGTGATGTATGAGCTTTTAAGGAAATGGTGAATAAAGATCTGTGTCATAGCTTCAAGATCATAGATCTACAGAGCAAGGCAAAAGGCAACTTCTGTAAGTGAGGGGACTTACACAAAACAGTTTGAGACTCTTATGTTGAGGAGCTAAAAAAGACAAATGTGGGAACTACTATAAAGATTAAGTCCAATTTGGAGGGTGTCAAATTTAGATTTTAAAGGATTTATATATGCTTGGCAGCTACAAAGAAAGGATTTATTGATACTTTGAGGCCAGTTGTTGGTTTGGATGCTTATCACATCAAAGGGCAACACCCTGGCCAATTACTATCTGCTGTTGGTGTTGATCCTAACAACGGCATGTATCCAATAGCTTATGCAGTGGCAGATGCTGAGAATTATGCAACTTGGACTTGGTTTTTGGAACTCTTAGCTGTTGATCTTGGCATTGAAAATAGCAATGGCTATGTGTTCATTACAAATAGACAAAAGGACTTAATTGATGCAGTAGGTGACATGTTTCCAAACTCTAAGCATAGGCATTGCCTTAAACATCTGCACGCCAATTTTATACTTGCTGGCTATAGAGGATTAGTTCTTAAACAACATATGGATGCTACTGCAAGAAGTACAACTATACATTGGTTTCAAGCAGAGATGAAAAAGCTCCAAGATTTGTCAGGATCAACTTTTAATTGGTTATCAAGGCTTGATCCAATGCAGTGGTGTAGATCTCACTTCAGAACACACTCAAAATGTGGCATTCTCTTGAATAACATGTGTGAGACATTCAACAAGTCTATCCTTGATGCTAGAGACAAGCCTATCATAACATTGCTTGAGAGGATCATGTATTACATCATGCTATTGATGGCAACTAGAAGAGAAGTTATGGAGAAATGGGCTCATGATGTGGGGCCAAGAGTTTTGGCAACTCTTGAGAAGCTTAAGAAGCAATCAGCCTGGTGCATTCCAAGGCTTGCAGGGGAGAGCAAATATGAGGTTAAGTGTTTTGGAGGCACTCAGGTGGTAGTTGATTTGAGAAACATAAGTTGTTCATGTAGGCAATGGGATCTAACTGAGATCCCATGTAAGTATGCTTGTGCTGCCATTGGACAATTAAATGGCAATCACATCAGCTATGTCCATGATTATTACAAAAAAGAGGCCTTCATCAAAGCTTACACACCCATGGTGCATCCAATGGTAAGTCTAGACTTGTGGGCTAAAACAAATTTGCCACATTTGCTACCACCTCAGTTTTATAAGCAACCAGGGAGGCCAAAGAAAACAAGGAAAGCTTCAGCCAGTGAACCATCTCCAAGCTTTAATCCTAAAGCTAAACACTTGCCAAGGTATAATTTGGAAATCAAGTGTTCCATATGTAAGCAACCAGACTATAATAAGAGGAAATGTCCAAGGGTAAATGAAGCAAGGAGTAGCAGCCAGGTATATTCAAAGCATGTGATTTTACAAATTCTGTATGTTTGGCATTCTGATATGGATTCCCCAATGATGTTTGTTGGTCAGGTACCATCACAAAGGCGAAAGAAGACAACATATCAAGCCAACATATCTACTTAGAAAATTACAAGACAATCAAGGCAAAAACAACCAATAAGTTGGGTTTCTTTTATTTAAGTAACAGTTTGAGACTCTTCATTTGTAGATCATAATTTTCATAATTTTCATAATATAACTATGAGCAGGCATTTAATATAACTCTTCCATAATTTTCAAATCATATCAAAGGCTAAAAAAAGGAGCAATCATCACCAAGCTTCTTCTCAGTCTGGCCAAGCTCCTCAACCATCTCACCAAGCAACTCAACCATCTCAACCATTTCACCAACCAGCTACAGCATCTCAGTTTGAACAATCCTCTGAAGCTTTTCAGTTTGAACAAGCATCTCAAGCTCCTCAGTTTGAACAAGCCTCTCAAGCTGCTCTGTTTAAACAAGTCTCCCAATCTCAAGCACCAAATTCGTCTCAGCCTTTACAAGCTTCCCACAAAGGAAAGTTAGGTTTAAGTCTCCAGCTAAGAAGAAAGTCTTATTGGCAAAGTTTAATCCATGGAGATATTGAAAATCTCTCCTCTATTTTTGCTGTGTCTTGGGGAACACATGTGTTTTTGGGTAGAAACTGTCTATTTGATTGTCTACTTTGTTTTTAGGTACAGGATTGTACAACATTGCCATGGATAGTGCATATTCAGTGAACAAGAGCATATGAGATCTTTTGTATTTCGTTTTGGCATTACCATGGTTTAAACATGTGCTTAGAAAGTCTTTTGAGTTATGGTTTAAACTGTACAATATATATACAAGACTACATACATTTATGTAAAGTTATGAATCAATGGCAGTTGTAAAGCTCTTAAAGGTTTCAACAATTATTGTTGCTTACATAAGTCTTTAGTCTTAACCATTACAAAAGGGATTTCAAACCATTACATCTGCAAAATGCTAGAGCCATTGCATTGCATAAAGACTCTCATCTAAATTGCCATTCAACTAGGTACATCACATAACATTACCTAACTTTCAAACATACCACATTGCCTAAGTTACATTACACAACACTGCCATACCAAATCATAAACACAAAGGCCCAAGAAATAAACAGAGTAATCCACAACTTCTTCTCTCTTGCTCTCACGCGCCCAATCTGATCTTCAAATTCTCTCTTTGTCCTCAGCAGCCAAGCCATCAGAGCTCTCTCACGGGGAGGCATTTCAATATCAACTCATACAAAAAACCCACAACCTTTTTTCCCCCTCTGCATTCAGACAACAATTCCATCACATTCTCACAATTTTTTTTTCTTCAAATTTTCGATAAAATGGCAAATACAAAACCTACCTCTGACTTTGGACACACAAAGAACCTCCGAAGTGGTCCAAGAAGTCTGCAGCCAAGCAAGCCTCCCACAATAGCAATCAGGTGCAACAAGGGCCACCTCTTCTCCTCGTGGAGGTTTTTTCCTCATCTTCACACCCTTTAATCGAACAAAGATGGAGAGATTTTTGTCTGGAGAACCTTAAATCCTTCAAATGGTGCTAAGTACTTGCTCTGAGTTTAGAAACCCTATAATCGAAGAAGAAGAAGATTGAGGATTCTCATCATCAGCAGCTTAAATTAAGATTTTCAACTCCTTGCAGGGTCCAATATGCCACGTAGGCAGCTGACTAAGGTCAGCAATTGGCCCACGTGGATGCTATTACTATAATGCTCCGGCCACGTCAACCTTTTTGACAATCTTTTGGATGGCGTTAACGGTGAGGGAGGAAAGTGGAACACAAAACCACGGTCAATGGGGTAAAGTGGGTCATTTTAACTTTAGGGGGGTAAAGTGAGATTTGACCGAAGTTTCAGAGGGTGCTACAGTAAATAAGCCTTCTCCTTAACCCAAATAAATAGCCAAACTTTAAAGTCCATTGACCTTTTATTTTCAAAGCCCATTCCATAACCCTACTTCACCTCTCTCATTCCACTTCACTTTCTTTGAGCCGCCTTCTCCCTTCTCTCTTCAACAACCTCTTTCACTTTCTTGATTTCTTTATGTCTTGAGCCCAAGTGAGAACAACACTTCATTCAGAGAAGGCAACTTCACCTTCCTTCACTTTTTATTTGTTATTTTTCACCAAGAATTCATCAAGGTAAAATCTTTAACTCTTCGTTTTTGTTATGCAATCGAATGCTGTAATTTTAATTTTTCACCAAGAATTCTCTTTTTCTACATACAAGGGCTGGGAGAGGATCTTAATAGAGAAGGTTTGGAGAAGACGCCTCGCCAAGGGGCCTCCAAGAAGGAACAAGGGGAAGATGGAGCATTTTTTTTGTTTTTGTTTTCACTGGAAGATGGAATAGTTTGAATGTTATTTCTGTATTTTTTTTGTAATTTTATTTGCTATTATGTGTATTTGTTTTGTTATTGGGTTGTAATTTTAAATTTAAAGTTTGCTAGATTCAGTGTGGGATGATTAGACGGGAATTGGGCTAATTGTGAATTTGTATGCCCAAAAATTTTAAAATTTTCAGTTGGGCTTAAAACTTAAAAAATACAAAATAAATAAATAATCAATTGGGCTCAAGAGCCGGTCCAAACTGGAAAACCAGAAATCGAACTGGATATAAACTGGTCTAGGTTGGTCTGGTTCTCTTAGGCATTTTAGTGCAAAATCAGACTGGATTGAATTGGATGAACATTATTGACTTTGGTTTTGAATTTAGGGGAAAATCGGACTGAATCTAACCGTGCCCACTCCTACACACTCCAGATTTCTCTTTTCCCCTTCAATCACTCATCCTTCATCACTCACACACTATCTCGATGATTTTATTTTACTATTTTTATTTTATTGAGTTATTTATTTGCAAATTCTATAAATTTTAGAAATGGTGGAGTTTGAAAAAGATTTGGGCTGACTTGGGAACAATATACATTAAAAGTGACTGAAGAGAGAGAGAGTAATGGAGTTGCATAATTTTTATGAACTGATAAGCATGAATGGAGGAGAGAGATGAACGTTGGAGAGAGAAGATGAAGAAAATGGTGCAAAAATACAATTTTGCTCATGCATTTAACAAAAAAGATAACAAAATTGACAGCATAACCATTTGTCCTAATAAAAGTGAAGTTGAAAGATTACGGAACAATTTTGGAAATTTAAAGATCAAAATGCGAATTGGGTCAAAGTTTAGAGACCATTACATCTAATAACCCATATCATAACATCGAGCATGGCGTGAGAGGAATTTAAGTAACGTTGGGCTGTTCTGTCCTGGGAGCTGCTCCTCCTACTTGGGCTAGGCCCCTTTTGTCCTCTTTAGTTTTCTTTTCTTTTGAATCTTGGCCCAGTATAAAAGAAAAAAGAAAAAAAGCTAAAAGAAGAATAAGACCCTATATTCGTTTTCCCGCCAAAACCCTCACCTTTATTCTTCATTTACCGCCAAACCCAAATCTGAGCTCTATCTTCTCTGTCTCTGTGTGCCTCTCGCTCTGCAGGTGAACCATGAAGGACCTCGACTTCGGCCCTGACAAAGGTCAATTTGGGTTTCAGATCTCTGTCTATGTACCCCCTTCTCTCTCGTCAATACTTGATTTCATTTTGTTATTTTATTTTTATATTTTCAGTGCACGCGAAGGATTTCCTTTCCAACTTTATCGATTGCAATGGTGAACCCAAATACATGCGGATCCTTGTGAGTTTATCTCTCTCTTTTTTAACACATTTTCTAAGAAGCAATAGTTACGGACTGAAAACCCTAAATTCTCATTGGGTTACCGCGAAGATGCGGGATCCTATTTTTCTTAATTTTTAGTTATACAACACCAATCTCTAAATTTCTTTTAAGTTTTTCGTATTCATGTCCTGTGATTCTTCTGTCTTTTTCAGCAAGAAGTTGCTAACCGCAAATTTCGAGCAATTCAGATTGATCTTGAGGACTTGTTCGGTGTAAGTTCTGCGTTTGCCTTTTGACTTTTGTTGCAATGCCCTGGTCCTGTTGTGAATAAGTTGTTAATTTTATAATGCAGTACAGGGAGTTGGATGAAGAATTCCTCAGTCGGGTTACTGAAAATACTCGGCGATATATTGGTATTTTTGCTGATGCTATCGATGAGCTCATGCCAGAGCCCACAGAGGCCTTTACAGATGATGATCATGACATATTGATGACCCAAAGGTCCGATGATGGGCCAGAGAATATGGATGGTCCAGATCCACATCAGAAGATGCCTCCAGAAATCAAGCGCTACTTGTGAGTTCAAAGTTATTTCTTTTGTGCTTGGAATTTTGTGTCTAAATGTGATTTGTGTGCCAATACACTTATAATAAAGCTACACGACCATATAATGAGGTATTTACTAAGCTAGCTGATACCTTCAGCAAAATTGACATTCATTTACTAACATGTCATGAATAGAGAACTACTAAACAAAAAAGTTGCAACCAAAACAGGTAGCCTATCACTGATACTGTACTAAACCCTAAACCCTCACCTATCCCATAAATGATACCAGCAAAAATTATTTAAAAAATAAAAAGGGGTGGAAATTCATATATGCAAGTATTACAAACACGAGATTTAGAAAATATATTGTGAGGGTACCTCCCGATGTGTAGCCCAACGGACATTTGTCTCATTGGAGTATGCTTGAAAATATATTGCCATTTCGTACAAAGTAAACCCTGCTTGAAAATATATTTCAACTAATTAGCTGATAAACCCTGTTTGTAGTATATGCTCGGAAACATGTTGTCATATGGTGCAATGTAAGTTGAACACATGCATCCCAGGTTAATACTGGCAACCGGTTCTAACATTTAGCAAGTTCTATATGCTTCACCTTCCAGTATAGTGATGTTAAATTTCACTAATGTTTTCTCATATGTATTGTAGTGAAGTTTACATAAGAGCATCTTCAAAGGGGCGGCCATTTACCATTAGGGAGGTCAAGGCTTCATATATTGGTCAGCTTGTAAGGATATCAGGTATTGTGACACGGTGTTCAGATGTTAAGCCATTGATGCAGGTTGCTGTTTATACATGTGAAGAATGTGGTTTTGAGATTTACCAGGTAATTAGAGACAAGCTTATCTCGGATACTTTGTCTTGACGTACGTAAATGTTGTCTTCTTTCCAATTAAACCACACCACCCCACCCCACCCCC